GTCCACATTACATTTTCCACTCTCAATGGCCAAATGGGTATACTGGCAGAGCAGCTGCCGTGTGCTGGCGTGACATTGCCACCTTCTCTGAAACCAAAGTGCTCGCTTCTGGCTCCTCCAAAACTGAAGGAATGTAAGACAGGATAAACAGTCTGCAAAACCATCATTACAGGGCTTAACGATGCTGTTGTTGGCAGTAAAGTTCCTGAATGTTTTCAGTTGCCCAAATTCTGCTGTAATACAACTCCACTGAAATTGAAGTAAACAAGTCATCTGAGTCCAGACTAGAAACGTAAAAATGGTTTCAGACTCAGACCTTACTAAGCGGCGCTTAGCATTATGGCAAATTTCGCCTACGTAGTATCCACAGAGCAGCAGATAGAGATATCCCCATCAAGTGAGTTACCACCTGCCTTTGGAAACTGAACAGACACTCTGTCTTCGCTCACTCAGCACCTTTGATACTAAAAGCCACCTTACACAGGACCTTTTACACTGGATGCAACCATCTGCTTGGAAAACACATTGCAACAGCTGACCTGCAGCTCAGAGCTTTCTAAAATGGCCAAGCACCTGGATACTGCAGTGAAGATGGGCAGAGCAAGTCTTGGCTTAACAATTCATCCAGAAATAAAAGCACTGATTAATACACCAACCTGATGCTTGAAACAAAAAGCACTGGGTTTTCAGAAGCAGAGTATCATAACAATGCTGTATCAGTATTGCCTACGGATACACAACGCTACTGAAAACACCTGAATTACTTTGCTAAGCTTTCACCCTCCTCCTGGTCAAAGCCTCATGGGACAGAATCATTTTTATGTTATCCTTCACATTTTGCATGCGTTCAGAAATCTGCTCTGTAGAGTTACTCCAAAGACCTGTTCATCACTGGATTTTTTTTGTTGCTGTTGGGAATTTGCCATTTAACTTGGATGAAGGCTCACTGTAATCACATGGCATTTTTCTCATGCCTAACTGGATATTGTACTTCTATGCTTTCCTATACCAACCTGCTAACTTATTTCCAAAAAAACATGCATCCTTCTGCTCCTAGATATCTGTAAGAATTTGAAACCTGGAAGCAGAATATAAAAGAGCATTCCAGCCGGCTCAGTAGGTTTATTTAAAGGATCATTCCTGTGGCTGCAAATGAATACGCATTCTTATGCAAGGAAATGAATGTGGCACACATTCACCTGGATGGATGGGATTCAAAATAAGCATTCCCAGCAGCCTTCAGAAATATCCTGGCATCTCTTGTAGAAAAGGCAATCAGTATATTCTATATACTAGAAATACCTGACAGATTTAAGCCCCACGGTATGCTCATTTTGAGTGCAATCCAGATTTGTCCCAGGGCTTACCAACGAATGGAAAGGAGGCTGTGAAGATCAGGTATATGCCGTCACTGTACATGGTGAAGGTGATAGCAAAGTAAACAGAAAGGCTGCCCCAGATGAAGAACTGATTCACAACTGTCCAGTAAGAGGTGTCCAAGCCAATCTGAAAGAACGGAGGAATACAGCTATTGTCAGTGCCTTCGTTATTTAGTAGATCTGTGCTAGGCACAGCTAGAGACCTCGGCCTTTTCTTTGTACCCCTGCTCCCAAGGCTGCTATTCATTCAAGTTTCAAAAAATACCAAGCCACAGATGGTAGGATTCTGGGAAACCATTTAAGGCAAGCATTACTACATTTGCCCTGTTGCGCTCTTCTCAAGCATTCACCAGTGGCCAGTACTGGAGACAGGATACTAAGTCCGAATGAGCCACGCTTCTGTCTCCACCCTCAAGCTCTGATCTAGCATTGGAAGTTAGGAGAGGGAGCCTACAAGATCTCAGACAGCAGAAACCATTATCTAGGGTGGTGTGATTGATTGACTTTAAGAAATTTCTCTCATCCTGCTAGTACCATCTGATTTTTGCATCACCCAAGATACAGCTATTTCTTCTAGCAAGTGTAGTTCTGCCATCTGCATCATGCATGGGGCCAAGGCTACAGAGACAGCCTCGTGATGGAGACCCCATAAATGACTGCCTGATAGCAGACAGACAGTCCCGTGCTTCAACCCATTCCCAAAAAATGGGAAAACGCCTTTCTCTACTCCCAGCCTTAACTGTGTTGTCTGCTATGACTGTAAACTTCCCAAGGCAAAGAGTCTGCTTTCCTCGCCCTGATCTTTCATATCATACACACCTGTTCTGTTGAACTGAGGAGAGTAATCTGGTGCAAGTGACTTTTTTTTTTTTTTTTTTTGCAAGAATGCAAGATGCAGCAGCCAACACAATGCCATCAAGATCCGAAGTAGCCTTCCAGGTACTGCCTTCATAAAACAACAACTAATTCCTACAAACATTACCTGGCATGTCTTACCTGTACGGACACTACAATCAGTAAGCAGGTCTGGGCCATCAGTGCAAAGGACTGGTAGTCAGCAATGGCCTTCCCATCACTTCTCATTGTGTTGTACATGGCCCCATAGGGGATGAAGAAGAGAATGAGGGAACTATAGATCCCTTGCAACATGCACTTGACAAACACCATTTTGTTAAAGTAGAGGTTTTGCTGGCCAGGTACATATAGCTGAGGAAACAGCATGCTCCAACGATCATCCACATCCTGAAAGTAGACAGGAGATGGTCAGATGTACCGGCACCTACCCAACCAACCACACAAGACCACTTAGGATTGCCATATCGCTGTGTCACGCATTTCCACATGAAACGGCTTAGCAAACAATTTGCCTAGCTGTGCTGATAAGCGTGCCACATCCCAAGGTCACCTAGACACATTTTCCATGTTGCATTTCAGCTTTCATGTGCTGAGAAAGCTGACAAGTGCTGCAACAAAAGAAAAAAAAAAGAAGTTACGCTTCATCTTAAGCAGACTGCATGATCTGCTTTCCTGAGAGTTGCCTGGAAGCTAGGGGGTGGAAAATACCTCCACTGGGTCCACACACAGGCAAGGCTGTCTGACTCGGATCCCTTAAGTGTCCAGAGCTGAACACTGTGCACCACTGTAGTTCCTACTCATTTAACTTGTAAAAGGCATATAGGAGCAGCTTTATTGCTCCTATGTCTTGCTGAACAGTGATGGCATATGAGGTAAAAATGTGTATGTGAAATTACAGCAGGAAGACTTCCACTGGAAAGGCTGAACCTGGAAAACCTGGCTTCAGAGCTCTTCTAGTTAATTTGTTGTTTTGTGTGGTCATTAAAGAGACACTTGTCAGGCTTCAGGAACACAGCTAATAAGATGTGACTACTTCAGAGGATCATGGCAATTGCAACTTTTACTGTAGTCAACAGCCTAACCCAGAGGTCTCATCAGGCACGGAAACCCAGAGGCCAAATCAGAGTAATATATCATCTCCTCCCTAGTGCATCCTTTGTTCGTGCTCTCAGGCCCCACCAGAAGGAAACTGTTTTAGGAGAAACAATAGCTAGCCAAAATGTCAGCTGCTTTTGCTTCAAAGAACCATCTCAAAACACCTGGAGATAAAACCCCTAGAAAAAAATCCAAGTGGTGGTAGAAACAGTACCTGATCGAAGAGGCTCATTCCTAGCACCGGAAGGGAGGTATATACCAAATTGTAAAGCGTAATGAACCACTCATCATAAACAGTCTAAAAATAAACAAAACCAAACATCAGAAACAGAGCACAAAGTTAGCAAAAGGCTGTCTTTTCCATGTCTTCAAATATACACAATGAAATTCTGGAACATCTTGCTTTGAGATGCCACGGAGACCAAAAGTATAAGGTGGCTCAAATTCAGCAGCACTAAACATGTCCTTACCATAAGCTGTGGGAATACACGGGGGAAGGATGACGTTACGCTAGCTCAGTTTGCTCAGCATCCACTGAGCAGGACCTGGCCGCCGGCACGGCGGAGCGGCTGACGCCGGGTGGGAGCAGTGCTCTGTGGATGCCTGCAACCGTGAACCTGGGGCTCACCCTTGCAGGCTGTCTGTGGGTCCCAGGGTCTGGGCTGGAGGCTGGTTTGTCCTAAAGCAACACAATATTTTTCGCTGCAGGAGATCTGCTCCTCTTGCAAGCTGCTGAAGTGACACCGACTGCTTCAAATGGGCCAGAATAGGTCTTACACAGATCTGCGCCAAACCGGTCAGGCCTCTGTGTGATCTGTGCCCTTGTTTGATGGCTGTAGTTGTTTTGTACGCTTTCAAAAATCCTACGAGGTACTATGTGCTTCATAACGCACCTAGATGTCTTCAGGCCTCTGCCCTCTAGCAGCACAGCACAATGAAGGAATCAGTGTCTGCTTCATACTCCTACAGCTGAAGAAGACAGACCTGTGTGCTATTCAGTAAGGTGTGGAGGGGGGATACCTTAGTTTATTTCCTTTTAAAATTCTTCCAGATATTTTACTTGAAAATGTTAGATGTGACCATGAGAAAACAGAAGCTGGGCCTACCTGTGCTGAGAAGCCAGAGAAGAAGCCATACCAGAAATGCACCAACGTGAAGGCAAAATTCTTGTAGAAGAAGTACTTGAGGAACTTGCACATGCGGATGTAGGACCACCGGCCGTGGACTAAGAGCAGGCGCTGCAGGTAACGGAACTGTGCGAAGGAGAAGTCACTGGACAAGACCGCCTGCATCCCCTCCTGGCCACTGATGCCAACCCCAATGTGGGCAGCTGCAACAAGAAGGTTATTGACCACGTCATTACAGTGAGAGTTGTGGTTACACCAATGTTATGTTAGATGAGTTCCCTGCACGGGGACAATGTGTCAGTTTCGTCCCAGCCTTCATAAAAAGTCGTATGTAAAGTTATTAAAAAATATAGATACATATATGTAGTTGGGGGCACTAATTCTTTCAGCAGCATTATGATTTTGGCTGTAGTGATACATTTTCAGTAACCTGGCTTTTATTATCTAAAGGAAATTACACCCTCAGTGACAATTCATGTTTTCTTTCTGAATGGTTCCAACAGCATAAATGCTGTTATGAAAACAATAACTTTAATATATATTGGTACATGACTCATATTTACATGCATGCATGTACTTCCAGAAGCCTTACAGCATCACTCCAGACAAAAAAAAAATGTTCAAACCCTTCATAGATTTCTCAGACACAGTGCTACAAGGCACGCTGTAGCTTTTTTACATGTCCTGGGCTTTATTAGCTCAATCAAATAATTAGATAGAAGAGTCACATCTTTTTTTTTTTTTAATAGTTGCTTGGGTTTATTAAACATGGACATAAGTTTAATGTGACAGATAATTATACAGCTTTAACTAATGAGAACAATCTTGATGGCTGGAGGTTGGTTAGATTCCGTGGTTTCCATGGAACAGTGAATTGATAAAATCCCTAAGTCCCAACCCTCTCATGGCAGGGGGGGTGTTAGTTTCTAATTATCATGTACACTTTAACTTGCTTTTCTTATCCTTACTTTACTGACTGCCTGACTTATCTCCCTTGAAGCTCCCTACTTAGCCTTTTATTTCTTAATTAAAAGGCTCCAGTTAATCAATTCTTGCAAATTAACAGAAGGAAGATTAGCAATAGGCCCTTCTGAATAATCTTAATTTAATTATATCTAGTTAGGGGACTTCTTTCATAAATTCACTGAGGTAATGCAACATCAAATGATGCTCAAGGACGAAGGGGCCTAGAAGCCCATGATTCATAACTCAAGGGAGATAATTGTCAAATGGCCATACCACATGAAAATGTTAAAAAATCCCATGTAACATCATACAGATTATTTACAGGCATGATTTTCTTTCTGCATTGCAGACAGGCCCTCTCTGCAACGAACTTGTTTGCCCTTTGCATTGCCCATGTGGCGGTGGCCATGCAGGCACACGGGTGGACGTGACACAGCCCCAGTGGGCTTCTGTCTGTTCTAAGGCAGAAACAGAGAAATAGGCAATAAGTGCAACCTCAGCTCCCTGCAATCCTGGAGGTGGGAGTAAAGGGGCCCCTTGTATGTCCAGTCCTCTGTAGAAACCTGCTGAAATGTGGGGCACAGGCACTTGGTACCACAAAGAGGGTGGTACAGCAGGCACTCACGTACGTGTTCTGGCCATCTCAGAGAGCTAACGTGGCAGCAAGCTCGTTGGCTAGAGCGTGCCGGCTGTCGGCCATCACTCACTTTTGATCATGCTGACATCGTTGGCACCGTCCCCGATTGCCAAGGTCACAGCCTTCTTGTACTTCTTCACCAGCTCCACCACCTGAGCCTTCTGCAGCGGGGTCACCCGGCAGCAGATCACCACTTTGCACATGCAGGCCGTTCTCACCAGCTCCAGCTCCAGGTTGCCTTCCAGCGCGTAGGCCTGGGAAGAAGGGGCAGAAGTGGTGCTCAGAAGGTGCTAGCGGCAGCTCGTGGCCTGACAGATAGTGGGAAGGAAATGAGAACTGAGCTGCTCCTTCCATTTGGCAGAAGGAAGGTGGGAGACAGCCCAAGTGGATCTATCCGTGTGGTTGCCGGGAGCACCGACACCGCACGACATCGTGCCAAGCAGACCGCACCGACAAGCTTGCTCTTTGGATGCACCACAGCTGGCTTTGCACCACAGCTCCTCCGCTGCGGTAGCCTCATAGGGCAGCAGGAGCGTCCGACAGCAGCACTGATTTAATGAAGCTGCTGCTGGGCCTGAGACAACCTTGCGTATCTCCATGGCAGACAGCCTCTGCTTGTCCCTCTTGGTTTATTTTTTAAGCTCTGGGAGATCTGTGGTATGAATAGAAGAGATTTCAATTTGGGAAAGCTTAATTAAAAAAAAACATGGGAAAAGCTGAGCTCAGGTAGGTATGACAAAGCAAAACACAAAAACAGGAAGAAGACAACTCTGCTCTGAGTGCTGACCTTCTTAATCAGTCAGCCGTGTTAGTTCTGTTCGGGAAACGCAGAGATAATTGGATGTCTGGTCACCCCTCCAGCCTTGCGCGGGAGGAAGAGCGCAGTATTGGCTTTTCATATTTCTTTCAGATCATGCTTTTTGGCTCTGTTCTTTGATGTCGTTTCTAAGTAGACATGCGTGGAAGGAATCTACAGGGATCTCTCCTCCTCAGAGCTATTACAGCAGCCCCACTGCCCTTTCTGCAGACAATCCATAGGCCATGTACCCTTTCTTCTTGAAACAGAGCAGTGAGTCACCAGCACCCCCGCTTCCCTCGTCAGCGGCAGGCAGCATTGATCAGCAAGAGAGCTTTTCATGGTTTAGCTTAAGTACCAGCTGGTCGCTAATGGCTTTCACCACAACATCCTCGCTGCACAGCGCTAGCAAAATGCTGTCACGTAGTAGATCTATTAATGGTATTGCACACAAACCAACTAGTTGCGTGATGATGCCATTACAGATGCTCCTGTGCTTCTGTTAGTTTGCTGTGTTTAAGCAAGACCACATGTGTGCCTAGTCCCAGTGCTGCCATCCCCCTGCCCCGTCTGCACAGAGGGATGCAGCACAGATGCTGTGTTTGAGAGGGACAGCACCGGCACTATTGCCATTGCTCAAGCTCCAGGTCCACAGAAATAAATAAACAGCAGATAGCTTTGTCCACACTGTCCTTGTGGTGCACACCCAGGAGACAGCCACGGCCCTGGTGAGACTGGCTGTGTCCACGCTGCTGCAGGCCACGTAGGCTGGCTGCTCCCACACAGCCCAGGCTGGAATTTCTCCGTGTGGGATGTACCTCCTTGCCGGGGTGTGGGTGAGTGTGTGGTTTTCCAGGCATAAAAAGAAAGCTTTGCTGCCGCTGCCTGTCATGCTTTTATAGCACAGCACACAGGGTCTGTCCTGCAGCCTTGGACCTGTAGGAAGAGGCAGGGGCTTGCAGCCAGATGGGATGCTAGAGGATTCGCACTACACTTGACAGAGCTTTTGTTTTGCAGTGGGGATCTAAAGGGGATTAAAGACCTGGAGTTAAAGAGGGAGCGACTGTGAAAGAGGACGAGAGGGTACTTGATAACATAGACACAGCCTGAAAATGTCCCCTCTATTCCAGGGTCCATATACATGCCACACAAGCAAAAAATAGAGCAAGGTCAGATTTTTTTAATAGTAATTTCCCAGGCTGGGAGTTAAATTGGCTGGACTACCATCAAGAGGTAGACACCACAGTGAAGAGAATCATCTTGTCTCTGACAGGCAGCACCTCCCGGATCCTTCCATGTCTACCTATTTGCTTCCCCTGCAATCTGGGAAAGCAAAATACAGTAGGCAAATAAACCTGATCTAGACTAAGCCTTCCTCCCAGACAGGTTGAACTGTACCTAAATTGTTGTTTGGTTAGTTGGTGTTTTTTTTTCTCTCTAACCCGTTCTAAATAATTTCCAGGGATGGAAAATCTACTCCAGTGCTTCACTGTTCTCACTGGGAAGACATCTAATCCAAAACTCTCTTGTCTCTGTTTAATTCCATTACTTTGTTTACCTGTTATTATTTGAAGAGCATTACCAAGACTGATCAGTATTCCCTAGACTCAGAAATCCTATTTCTCAGTCTTCCCCCATGCTTTCCACATCCTGCATGACCACTATTAGAGTTTTCTTTGTATTTTCTCCATCTGTTCCGTATTTTCTCAAAGAAAATGACCCAAATAAATTGAATTGTTTCAACTAAGAGTTTAACGATGCCAAATTATGCAGGAGGCCTTGTTCACAGGTCTTACAGATGATGATCTGACACACATATCTTTGATTTTGTATGTGTGCAGTCCCTTACGTGAAAGTGGAGAACAAGGTACTTGTTCTTACTGAATTGCAATTCCATTTTTATAAAGTATTTCTCCAATGTGTTAAAATTGTTTTCTAATCTCATCTTGAACTCCATCATGCCTGCAGCTTCCCCCAGCCTGGTGTTATCTGCTCTATTTTTAAGCAGTTAATTAAAATACTGACTGTCAAATCGATATGGGATAGCCCCCTGCAGATGCCACTTAAATGTTGGTTTAGATCCATTAGCGAACGTTTAAGAGCTGTACTTTCCAAGCAGTCTTGTATCTGTCACTTAACAATTTCATCTAGACTGTATTACACCAGTTTGCTTGGAAGAACATCATGGGAGAGAACATCAAACAATTGATTATTTAAGTTATAAGATATATATCCTATTTGTTAAATAAAAAAACCCCACCTGTTAGCAGATATATTTAGTAGAATATGTTCTTGGCATACTTGAAACCCATGTCTGATGTTACTGTTCTGCTGCATCCATACACTGCCTGATTATTTTTCTAGTATTTTTCTGGAAGTGCAGATTGATCCAGCTACTCTACTTCTCCTGTTCACCTAATATCAGGGCCAACTATTGCCTGTTCCAGTCTTCTGAAACCTTGCCCATCACCTTTGTTGTCTCAGATAAACACCAAAACTAATCTTCAGTTAGGGGAAAAAAATCCAGTTCTCTAAAGCTAAATTTTTAAAGCATTTTCAGTATGTCCCTGTCACATTAAGTTCATCAGAGAACTCAGCCCTAACATGACTCTGAACCTTCCTTACCAGGCTGTGGCCAGTGATAACCAGACCGTACACCCCATTTGCTTTCTCGTCGGGTATGATTTTTGGTGTTTTTGAAGATTTTTCAAACTGAATGTTGACTTCATCAGTGTCGAGAAAGGAGTCTGGGTTCATCTTTTTCCTTGCGTTCCTAAAAAAAAAAAAAAACCAACCAAACAAAAAACCCCAGAATAATAATGAAAAGTTTGTAAAGATATATATGTTTTATTAAATCAACTTTTTGAAAATAAAATATCGATGCTTCCCTTTGATAGTTTAATTTTATTTTCCCTGTATCCCTACAACAGCATGGATGGTTCAGCTGCTGGTCTTCGTACGGATCACCTATGTGCTTCCGAAACTCTACAAGTGTGCTAAACTTATGCTGATTTGAAGTCAAACAAATCGTATGAATGTCACAAAGGACAGTGTCCCATAGGGCACCCCACTCTTCTGTCCATGCTGTCTGACACCCACCTACTTTAACAGAAAAGGACTGAAAAACTTCTTCATTTTCCATCTATACCTAAGAACTTGTGTCTCCTGAGGAGGCTGTGGAGGAAGGCAGATTTCCAGATAATGCTAGGAAAGGACCATATCCAGACAAAGAACTGCAATGTGGATGAATGGCAATAGCAGTCGAGTAACAGCATAGATTGAGCCTGGGGCCAAAGGCTTTGGGGCTTCAGACTGTTGAACATCAGCTGATACTGCCTGACTGATACTGCTTTCCTATACATTTTATATAGATTTGAGCTCTTGGATTAAGAAGCTTTGGAATTTATCCTCAGAGGAGATTTCTACACTATGTCACTGCTGGATCTTCCAGGGAGCCAGCTAGCCATTATCTAAGGTCCCTAGATGAACTGCACCAAGTAAAGCCCACAGGAAAAAAAGGCGAAATAACACAAAACAGAAAGACTGCTCCACTCCAGTGTCAGTGCACAGCAACGAAGCTGTACATTTCAGCCATTTACCTCAGCTCATCGAGTACGTCATCAGATGTGCTGCCTTCGATAATGAAAACATCTTCCATGTCATCATTCAGCAAGTTGCAGGAGTAACCAATGTTCATTGCCGTCTCTGGGAAAAATAAACCAGGAAGATAAACACATATTGGCAGCCCCAGACTCACACGCCATCTCTGTGGCCTTTTTACACACATGACAAAAGCTCTCTTTCTCACTCAAAAGAGCTCTGAGCCTTCCAGAGTCAACAGTTTAAGAGATCCAGGAGAATCACCTTGATGGAAGTACCACCAAATCCCCCCTAACTGAGCTTCACAAGGCCACAAAAAAAAAAAAAAATTCTACCAAAATGAAAAAGCTTAAAACACCCTTTGGCCATTCATACTTGAAGCCACAAAAAACATTTCATGTTGATTCCAAAAGACATTTTCAGGATATTTAGCTTTCCCTCCCTCCATCACCAGAAAAGCCCCAAACCATCATTCTGAAAAGGAATAGCAAGACATTTTGTTCACAAAATTCTGAGAAGAAAAAAAAAAAAAGAATGAAGTTTTTTTGGTACTTCATAAGCAAAACTATTACATGTGGAATATGACAAGATGAAGTGTTTCATTTTTCTCAAAAATTCTCTGCCCATTTCTCAGTAGAAATTATTTGCAAACACAGGTTAAAATACTATTTCTCCAAAAGAATTTACTGGAGTCTATTCACATTTCTCTCCAATTTAATGTTTTCACCAAAAGCCTATGTTCCTTCCATTGCTATTCTGGATCATTATTGCCAGGACCAAAGTGAAGCAGATCCAGCACCCATTTTAGTATTAAAGTTCAGGAAAGCAGGGAAAGATTTTTTTCCAGATTCTTCCCCAAGATGGTCAACTATACTAAACCAACACCTTTTCACAGCAAATGATGGGGACTATGGGATGCTCACTGCCACATCTCAGAAGGCAAAAGATGTTATCTTCACACTACTTCCAGCCTTAGGACAGGAATTAAGAACCAGTACTAGCTACAATTATCTGGTCTAATTCCCAATAACTGGAGTTTTGCCTATCTAGCAACGAAGCACAGCCCTGTAAGCTTGTCCTCTGTGCAGTTTTTCAAAGGAGAAAGAATGAGAACATGGGCATTAGCAGAAGCATGCCACTGGTTGGAGAGAAGAGAAACATCCAAAACTGTAGCCCCTTTACCTTGCTTGTCTCCAGTGAGAACCCATATCTTAATGTTGGCTTTGGCAAGAGTCTCAATTGTCTGTGGCACTCCGTCTTGTAACTTGTCCTCAATCGCCGTGGCACCTAGCAGCTTAACAGAAAATGGCAGGGAACTGGTAAGTTTCCCATTGCTAGCAAAGGAGAAAGAATTACACCTCCAGGTTTACTCAGGCAAACACAAAGGAAATCCAGGACTATTTGCTGAGGAAATTCCTCCTCAGCAAATTCAGCATACAGAGTAGAGCTCTTGATCCTGGTCTCTAATGCTCCAGGTTCAGCTGGATCATGAACATGCATTACATTGTTTGCCAGCATGTTTGCAGACGTACAGGTCTTCTTCCCCACATCTCCTTCAGAGCAGATAGAGCTGTCACTGGGGAACAAAGACACCTGTGGATCCATGTCCCCAAGCCTCCAGATGCATCCTCTAGTGTGGGGCTTGCTGTCAACCATACTGGGCTGCAACAGCCATATGGCTGCTAAGCATCTCGAGCCCACAACAGACCCATTCCCACCACCACTCTACACTGTCACACAGCTAAACCACAGACTGCTCAGGACACAAACCTTCATTATTTTAAGGTTACTGTTTTTTCTGCACTTCGGAGATGCTCAGTGGCTTTAACCTATGGCATTGATGGCATTGAGTGCAGCCTCAG